TATATATATATATATATATATATATATAAATATATATATATATATATATATATATATATATATATATATATATATATATATATATATATAAAACAAACCTTCGACCGGCCTTCGTCAGGGAAGGCCGGACGAAGGCCGGCCCCGGCCGAAACGTAGGAGTAATAAAAGATTTCGTACGTTTGTCCCCTCAAGCCAATTTCTATTTATCACTGGATTCACAGAAGACACTTGCTTTATATATATATATATATATATATATATATATATATATATATATATATATATATATATAATAATTTCTGCCATACCGATTTAGGTTTGCACCCCATTTTCGAAACAGCCAGGAGATCCAGACATCGTAGATAGATAGATAGATAGATAGATAGATAGATAGATAGATAGATAGATAGATAGATAGATAGATAGATACACTCAATGTCACCGAAGTTCGCTAAAAACTTTTTCACATATAAAATCAGCGTTGACTATCGCGCGAAAGTTCAAAGAAGATGAAAATAAAAATACGAGCCTGGGGGGCGTCTGTATTTCGGTTTTCCTCCCGGTGCAGTTGAAGCATACCGGCAAAGGAAGGCGGGCCAGCCATTAGGAAGGCGATATAGGCCGCGCTTGTGAATGTGTGCGTGCATGTTCGCTAGTGTGAGCATGCCTATGTATCTGTGTGCGTTTTTATGCGCGCATGCTTGTGTTTGTGTATATGCTTGTGTTTCTGAGTTCCTGCGTGTACGTGCTCGCGTGTGTAATCGTGCGTGAGTGCATGTTCGTGGGTGCGGCAAACGCAACCGCATCCAACTCTCAAAGGCGAAGCTTAGTCACTCGATTTCATCACCGAAGCTGTTTGGTGATTCGTTCCTGATTCAGTGAATGAAAAACCTATTATCATCATAAACAGCAATATGCTAAAGAAGTTGAGTGAATCCCAATAAAACGAGGATTGTTACAGTTAGGCCAAACAAAATTGAATTCAACTAACGGCGGTGAGCCGAAGACACCGATTGTGTAGAAAGAGTAAATATGCTATAGATAATGATGAAGGCAACGGTGGGTGCGGGAAGACCCCGAAGTGATGGGAGGAATGCGTGAACAACGACTTCCGTAGATGTATGAGGGGTGCGAAAGCTTAGTGTCAGTGCGAGTTCATGGCTCCAGAGTTTCCACACCCTTGTGTTATAAAGTCTTGAAAAAGGTAAACTCGCCCGAGAGCTTTCCCCGGGAGAGAGCACTTTTTCGATAGTTTCAAAGGCGGGACAGCTCAGGGTCGTGCTCAATCCGGTGTGTGGCGTGGCCACGCTTACTGCGCATGCGCATCTTTTCCCCATTTCTCTCACCTCGCAACGCATATCGCATGGAGATTCTGCTGACCTACGCTCTCTCCTTCCTCTCTCTCCTCAAGACATTCCTTCCCGTGAAGTTTAGACTACTATTGCACACGCGCTTCCACTTCCTCTCATTCCTTCCGCAACACCATCGCACGAAGGTTCTGCTAGCGAGTATTGTGATTGAATGACAGCTCACGCTGAGCGGAAGCTTCGCCAATTTATTGCCTTGAACAGTCACTGTGTGCTTGCCCTGCCACGTTGGTCTAGTGGCTAAGGTACTCGGCTGCTGACCTGCAGGTCGCGGGATAGAATCCCGGCTTCGGCGGCTGCATTTCCGATGGAGGCGGGAATGTTGTAGGCCCGTGTACTCAGATTTGGGTGCACGTTGAAGTACCCCAGGGGGTCAAAGTTTCCGGAGCCTTCCACCACGGCGTCTCTCATAATTCAATGGTGGTTTGACCCGTCCGCGGCGGGTGCGATTTGAGGGCTTAAACAGCGTGTGTGACTGAGTCCCCGGCGGATTAATTTTGCTGGACCATGACGGGTTCCTGCGGAACTATATAGCCACTAACGACGAGTCTATTGATCTGTTTAAAGTGGCTATGCCCCCCCCCCCCCTATAAAAAAAAGTCTGCGAGCCACACTGTTGCGATCCTCTCACGATGAACTCGTGGCTGGTCACCTGAGTGGCTAGAAAGTGTTTGCAAACCGAGCAACGTTGTGACCTGGTCCGGCACGAAGCGTAATTTTCATCACCATTCCGTGCCTGCCATGCCTGACAAACGTTTGAACCAAGGGTTGGCAAGCCGCCCAGTCTTATGAACCGATTGTCAGTGAGCGTCCGTGGCGCATACTAGCTTAAAGATCCTCTTTGGGAAAACTCAGCCGTGCCCACATCGCAGACCTGAAGCTAGAGGACTGCACGGGCCTGATTTTTCGGCCAGAGCTCAGGCCGGGCTCACTTTATGAAGCCCGAGCCCAGCCCGTGCCCGTGGTTCTAAGCCCAGTCCCGGCCCGGGCCCAGCTGTAAATGACCGACCCCAGCCCGATCTTGGCCCGGGCCCACGGTTCCAAGCTCGGGCCCGGCCCAGGCTCGGGTGTTCATTGCTACACTTGCTAAATCATGATTAGGATCGGCCCGGGCCAATTAGAGAATATTATTTATTGAATATGAATATTAATGATGCTTTGCGCTTTCCAGCGGGGAATCAGAGGGAAAATTCAGTGTGCCCATCGTTGAAATGTTGCTTTGCCCGCGGTGATAACTCGGTGGTTAAGCTGTCTTGCTATTAAGTAGTAGGATATGGGTGCGATCACCACGGCCCCGGCGGCCGAATTTCGAAGGGGCGAGAGGCAAGAACAACCGTGTTCTTATCTTTAGGTGCACGTTAAAGAACTCCAGGTGAACGGAATTAATCCGGTCTCCACTACAGCGTGCCTGGTAATCATATGGTAGTTTGTGAGCAAGGAATATAGATGAAATTTTGCCTATATATCTCATAGCAAGTCATTAAGATAGCAGTATAGGTTAAATAAAACATAGCAACAAAATTTATTGAAAAGCGAACAACTAACACAAAAAAGTGGATAGAATCAAACACGGGACATTTTCATTGATTTTATTTTCTACACTCGCGTTAGAAACATTATTTACACAATTTTTAAAAGAATCCTGATTAATAATTTCTTGCACTAAGATAAAAAAACCTTTAACGTTATATATTGTGATCAGCCACCAAATGCAGATGAAATACATACTTTTCGTAATCGTCATTTACAATATACCTATATAATCAAGCTTCTACACACATTGATTGTTGCTATTTCAGACAAAAGGCTTCACCCTTTTTTGTGAAATAAAGATAGAAAATACGCTTAAAATACCACTCAATAACGCCAAAAGACTGCACTTACAAAATGATTCCACAGAAATACGAGTGCGAAAAGGCCAGAAAGAGCAAAAATCTACATGTTTTTCTGCAAAAACAGCAAGTTGTCCAGACTCTCCAGCTTCAAGCAGGTCCTGCTGTCGTGGAGTACGTGTATACCCAGCTACACTAAAGTTGCGTTCGCTCTTGGCGCTCGTGGATGGAATGCAAAGTACTTTTTTTGCACGAAATGAAAGCCTGTGCTATTTCCTGCGATGGGCTTCCCACCATTCAAGCAGTTTTTTCAATGTCCTCATACGAGTCAGTGTGCCGAAGGCAATTGTCAAGCTCACTGTCAGCTCGTTGAGTTTTCGCAGAATCGCGCCACTCCTTAAACCTTAAGTTCGTCAAAGGACGTACACTTCGCGGGGGGTTCATAATAAAGATGATCTGTGCTCGTTTCTCCTTGGCCCCGCCGCGGTGGTCTAGTGGCTAAGGTACTCGACTGCTGACCCACATGTCGCGGGTTCAAATCCCGGCTGCGGCGGCTGCATTTCCGATGGAGGCGAAAATGTTGTAGGCCCGTGTACTCAGATTTGGGTCCACGTTAAAGAACCCCAGGTGGTCGAAATTTCCGGAGCCCTCCACTACGGCGTCTCTCATAATCATATGGTGGTTTTGGGACGTTAAACCCCACAAATCTGATCTAATCGTTTCTCCTTGTAGCAAACGCAGATGTACATTGTTTAACAAGGCGCGTACCTCTGTCACGAACACTTTTCCCCTCCTGCTCATCAAGAACGCGGAGATGGCAGAAAGGCGGCCACAAGAACGTTGCCACTTTGTGAAGCTCTTATAGGAGCAGTTTTAATTGAAGGAATTCTAGTGTCCTCGACTTGAACTGGCACACTTCTCGTGAGTCTGTCGAATCAGCAGTATGCTGCTTCTTCAGTTTTGCGCAGCACATCAGTACAAGGAGCAGCGTTACCACTTTATTCTGCTCAAGCTTTTCGCTGGCCTCTTTGAAGTGCTCAAAGAATTCAGCGACCTCTATCAAGAAAGTCTTACTGACGTCTTCCAAGAGTAGATTTCCCCTTGAATCTAGGAGGTTCTCTATCGCATCGTACTGGCTTAGCACGGACTTGATCATGGCGAGCTTTGAATTCCACCGCGTACATATCTCCTGGCACACACCGTGTGTTAGCTGGCTCGTAAGTCCACTCTGTTTTGAAAAAGTCACGATGGCTTTCACATTTTGCAGTTGTTCCAAAAGGTCGGGAAGTTCTTGAGCGATGTACCTGACATCAAACGCGTTTATCAAACGTGTGCACAGCAGTTCCTCCTCGCATACGAATGCAGCGTGCAAATTATTTCATTGATATGTGGGGTTTAACGTCCCGAAACCAATGTACGGTAATTAGAGACGCCGTAGTGGAGGGCTCTGGAAATTTGGACCACCTGGGGTTCTTTAACGTGCACCCAAATCTGAGCACACGGGCTTACAACATTTCCGCCTCCATCGGAAATGCAGCCGCCGAAGCCGGGATTCGAACCCGACACCTGCGGGTCCGCCATCGAGTACCTTACCCACTAGACCACCACGGCGGCGCAGCGCGCTAATTACGTAAGCACCCTAACCGGTCACGAACGCCACATTGTTCAACATGCCTTCATCCATCCCCAACTTTGCGCTCTTTCGTGCAATCTTGTTACGGATGTTCTTTCCCATTTTTCTCTCGGAGATAAAGTCACTAGTGAACAGAACAAGGCTCCTCAGTTCCCATTTCACACTTACGTAATGCGCCGTTGCAGTGATATAGGCAATTTTCTTGTTGTCGTTGGTCCACTTGTCAAGTGTCCTAGAGCAGTGACCTTCCTTCATCGCTGGCTGAATATCAGGCATCCCCACTTCTTGGAGTTCGTTTGCAACTTCGGACACTCGGCGAGACACCGTCGTAGGATGCGGAATCACGGTCCTCGCGGATATGCTCCCGTACTTGGCACTGATAGCAATCAGTTCATCGCCAGCATTTAGGAATCCATCATCGCAAACAACGTCAAATGGCCGCTTATCTTTAGCACACCCCTTTACGCAAGTAGTCGTCAAATACCCATTAACGGTAGAAGAAATTTGGGGTTCCTTCTCATTGAAGAACGAAGAAACGGCAGTTACGTCACCAGCAGCCTTGCACTTGTGGCGGTTCAGATACGCGAAGAAAGCTTTGTAGCTTTTGTACCGCACATATCCTACAGGTGATAAGGTGTGCACGTCGACAACTTGCAGGAATTGTTTCCGAACCTGGCTTTTCTTAGCTTGCTTGGAGGCGAGCTTGTCTCGCAATACATCTGCATTCATAGGATTATGATTAGAAGAGACACATTACGAACTATAGAACGCCGGTAACCGACACATTAAAAGCATCAGTGCGCTCTGCTGAGCTATGACACAGCATGCAAAGCTTTCTTTTTGTTTCACTTTTTTCAGTAGATGGCGACACGGGTCCCACGCTACACACGCAGCAGTTCCTTGCATGAGGTTCCTCATGGGTGGGCCGCCGTCTGTGCATGTTCCGCCTAGCCAGGTGTCGCCTAGCAACGGAGGCTGTCTTTACCCTCTTACGCGCTTCTTCCCACGCGTGCCTCTTATTTCTGCTCACACATGAGGAGTTATCCAATTTCGCAGTGGTCGCTGCAAGGTGGTAGGGCCTTCATTTTCCGGAAGGCACGAATTACACGGGCCTGCACCTTAAGATGCTTAAGGTGTGCGCCTTGTCAAGACAGTTACGAGTTTGCGAAGCCTGTGACAAGTTATATCCCCTTAATTCCCTCACTGCCCAAGCGAAAATTAATATGACGCTTTGAAGGTGATTTACTGCTTACAATTTGACCAGAAGGATAGCCACATACAATTCGGCCTACACTTTTAGAGGCGCAATGAAGGACGTGAGCAAAAAATATCTTTGTTTACTAACAGATTGTACCGTATGTGTCAACCATAAATAAAAAACCTAAATCTTTATTGCTCTCACAGGCAGAAGCCCATGACCGGCCCCGGCCTATAGGTTCAAGCCCGGGCCCGGCCCAGGCTCGCACTTTCGAGCCCGGGCCCGCCCGAAAACGCTTCAGACGGCCACGGGCCGTGCCGGGCCTGGCATTTCGGGCCGGCCCGGGCACGTGCAGTGCTCTACCTGAAGCCCTTCGTCACGGTCTGAATATCTCGTGCCAGCGCCCTGCGGCACTTCGCGCAAGCAACGGGCAAACCCGGGGCGGCGGACCGCATTCGCACTCTGCACCGGTATAATCTGAGGAAGCGGTCACCTTTGTGATTTCGCGTCGGACGGCGGACTTCTCCGCAACCGAAGGGCCTCAGTTTACTGTCTAGCGTCAGTATAGTTTAGCTTCTTTACGGCCTTTTCTCGTAAAGAAGTTGACCCCACCCAGTTTGCTGCGAATGTTTGTTTTCTTAAGTGTTCATGTGTATCTCATGTTTCTTTTGTCTGATCGTATGTATTAATTTGTATTTTATGTTTTTATTTTCTTTTGACCAGAGATTGAGTGTAGTTTTGTTCTGTTTTACTTTTTTCGTGTTTATTTCATTTGCCGCGAAGGTAGTTGTGACCTTGAGTATCCGTGCTTATGCGGGGAGAGTGGAACGAAGGACGGTTTGCGCCTTTTCTTGCGCAGCCGTCGGCTGTGTGTGTGTGTGTGTGCGTGCTTCTGTGCGTGTGTAAGTGCTTGACGCTTCAGTGCGTGCCCTGGAAGAGTGCGTGTCGTTGCTTTGCCCCATCGACATGGACACTAGAGGTGCTCGGGGCACATACCTACTGACGGTGTGCTCGGCTCTCGGCCGTCGCCGAGAAGCCCGGCTGCCTTTACCACCATGGCTCCTGCGCGAGGCCAGCTGACAGCAGCTATATGATGCGGGCCAACTCCAGGGTGCCTCGTAACCAATTATGGTTCAGCCTCCCTAATCCCCGGTGAGGCCCTGCTTCCCGCAACGTTCCAGCTCCATCATCGAGCCGAAAATGCGAGGCCTCCGAACCACAACTGAAGCGGAGTTCGTCGGAGTTGCGGCTAATCAAGAGCAGCAACGAGCCATCAGAGAACCCCCTTCCGTGCCTCTGACCTAGCACTCGCGCATCGCACCCAGCAGACATTGTCACGCCCTTCCACCATTCCGAGCAGTGGACGCTATCCCTCCCAAGCGCCACGAATACTAGTCCTACTTTCCTGTGCTTCCTTTCACAATTATTTTTACAGTGTCATGTGTTTATAATGTTCATAATGATTTTTCCTTTCATTATTTTTAGCAGCAGTCACAGGGCTAGCCTGAGGTTATCTGCCACTTTTAAGCGGTGTCATTTGAACTGCCTGGCTGACTACCGGCTGCCTTTGCAAACCGGTAAAGGGCAAATTTAGGAGATGGGGATGTGGGAATTGAGGCTGGCCCGCTGCGTTTGCGTGGGCTTTGCCGCCTTTTCTGTATACCTTTCTCATGTCCCGACATGACTCCTCTCCTCCACTGTAACCGCGCTGGGAGAGCAAGGAATGACGTTTGACCCCTCTCGTCCGGTAGCGGATTTCAGCTGTGGCACCGCCGCAGAGTTTCCCGAGATGTTTCGCGCGCGTGCGTCAGGAGTGAGTCAGAGATTCTCCGGGACAGCTTTCGGTGAGCACGCATTCCCTTTTCCGTCCATCGTCTACCGTTGCTCGGGGCTCGTCGGACTTCGCTGACGGCGCCGCGCACCCGAGGCGAACGCTCACATTTTGCTACCCTTTTGCGTACGCTCGGCCGAAGGGTGGTACAGTGTCCTAGTGCGTGGTCAAGCTACGCCGACCCGTCTCTCTCCGAAGCCAACGCGAGCGCCTTTGCCCTAGCTCGAGCAACCGCGCCTTGCTCCTCGTGTCTCCGTGAATCACTTTTACCACGGAGACGTGCTCATGGCATCCTGTGCAGTACTTTTCGCCTGTGGTGTGCATAAGCCCATTTGATTTCCCTCCGCGCCTTTGCAACGGGCTGTACTGCGTTTTGATGTTGCCACAGACAATAAAGTGTTGCGACCCTGAGCAGTATTGTGTTCTCGCCATGGCGATGGTTAATGCATGCTTTGCAACTCGCTAAGACCAGACCCACGCTAGTGGCCGTACTCCTTCGGGATATGTGTCACTAAAAAATAAATAACTCCTAATTTCTATTTATTATAAGTGTTCACCTCATGGTATGAAAAAAGTTTCAATAAAATAAATGATGTTTACGTAGTGTCATTCATATCACTCATCATGGCTACCATATGTATAATTCTTATGCAATAGTTTTGAGGTTTTAAAGGACTTCTAGGTTTTGTTGACTGTTCTGATGACGGCTTCGAGCCTAGTACTTCTATCGATTTTCTTAAATACCTCAAACACTAATATTTCCTCGTCAGTTTTGAGCTGATGCGTAAGCTGACTAGTACTATTTTTTTCCCTGTTTTCTGGACCTTAGGCTCGGCTTTTCAAGTAACCACGCGTGTTAGTTTTTGGAACTCAAGCACGCACAACCACTTTTACTGTTTAACTTGTCGCACTCAAAGCTCGCCAGAGAAGCTATTACTAGATCATGTCTCTTGAATTAGCCTCTAAAGATCGTACCCACATATTATGCAAAATACCTCCTCAACACATGTGATCGCTTTTAATCTGCCGGAGTACCCTTGTGAATTGCAGAACGGGTCTGGCATAAAACATACCCATGCTTCATCCCGCCGTTGACTGTGTAATTCGTGTGCACCTGCTGTGTCGCATCGAGAGAAGGAAATTCGTTAGCGTACGGGTGCCACGGTAGATTTTTGAGCTTCGGAAAAGCTGGCGAAAGTGAATGAGCGAGTCAACCATTAGGCGAAGCCTTGATGTTCCTGTGCTGTTTACCAAAGAGATCCTTCTCTGTCGTATGACACCAGAATAAGAATCAGAAATCAAAGCGGTTTTATTTATTCATCGAGTCAACACAAATTTGTGTATACTCAAATAGGTCCTATAGTCAGAGACAATATCGGTATCTCCTACAGTAGAGGATATAGAAATGAATTAATTCAAGCAGAAAGCTATGGTAGGGAAAAAAAGCAACGACATACGTCACAGACAGAAAAGGTTTCTACCACCTAAAAAAAAAACAATGGCAGAAAGGAGTAAGAGAGACCCAAATGAGACATTATAATAAATAAATGTATTTCAACTATATTCAGCAGTTTTCAATAATTTCATGGTGCAGGATAGTAAATAAAGAATTACAAGAAAGGAAATAAAACAATGACATTTAATTTCAGCATTGTAGTTAGGGTGATGTTCCGATGATTCATTATCCTATAGGCGGGATTCAAGAGATCCGCCTGTCGTGCAGTGATAAATATGTGGAGTAGACATTAGGGTGCTTAAATTAGCGGCTTAAGTAGCACCAGAATATTTGACGTAATCAGCGTAGCCGTTCGTGCATTCAATGCACGGATAGCGGCTGCGTGCACATTTTCACGAGCAGGCATTCACTGGTGTGGAATTGTTCTCAGCTCACGAGGGACCTCGCTGATTCTGATTGCGCCAGAAAGCTGGGTACTGATTGCCTTTGCTCCGCTGATATTGCTGTAATCACTTGTGAACTCAGCTTTTTAAATGGACGTTGAAAAAAGTTTAATGAAATAATTGATCTTGTGGACATTTTCGAGCGTGACAGTAATGCACGATAACATGTGTGCCAAGTAAATCTCTTTTATATTTTTGTTTTATCTGCTTTGCACTCTCAATATTTAAGCACGTGAAATGTGTACAGCAGTAAATCTATGCTCTAATAAGGCGCAGTGTATTGTCCTTTTTCTTCTCCGTGTCTTCTAGGGCTGCTGGTATACTGTCAGAACATTTCCGATGTGCTAG